TTATTACGGTTTATCTCACAAATGTTTTAACTGTGGTGGAGATGGTCATCGAGCTCTCGACTGCGACAATTGCCTCAAATGTAATAGCGCATGGGATGAATGTTGTTGTACGTATAGTTGTCGTAGATGCAGTAAAATGAATCATTTTTCAGGAGACTGCAATTTTAGTTGTTACAACTGTGGTAGACCTGGTCATTATGCTCGAGATTGTAATTACTGCGAAAGATGTGGCGGATATGGACATCATTCTGAAGATTGTTATTATTGCGTTAACTGTGGCAGTTACGGTCACAATTATGATAATTGCAATTATTGCGTCAATTGCGACGATTACGGCCATCATTCCAAGGATTGCAATTATTCTTCTGATGAGAGTAGTTGTTATTGTGACAACTGTGGTGAAGCGGGTCATGATTATGAAGATTGCGATTACTGCATCAAATGTGGTATGCATGGCCATCACACCGAGGATTTAAACAATTGCGAGAACTGTGGTGAATGTGGTCATTATTATGAAGATTGTGAATATTGCAGCGGTTGCGAGGAATATGGTCACCACACCGAGGATTGTGATTATTGCGAAAATTGCGATGAATATGGTCATCTTTATGAAGATTGTATTTACTGTGTTAATTGCGAAGACTATGTTCATCATACTGCGGATTGCGACTATTGCGAAAACTGTGGTGAATACGGTCACAATTTCGTTGAATGTGATTACTGTGACAACTGTGGTGAATATGGTCATTATTATGAAGACTGTAATTACTGCGACAATTGTGAAGATTATGGTCATCACTCTGAAGATTGCATCTGTTGCGAAAATTGCGGCGCATATGGTCATTATTCCGAGAATTGCGATTGTTTCATCACGCAGCCATTTTCACGAGGGTTATAATTATTGCCTAGAATTTATGAACGCGTTATATACTATACTTGAGACTGAAGAATGTCTCCTATTCTTATCGTCGAAATTATTCTCAACAAATGGCAGATAAATCAATCTAATTTGAATTAGGGTTTAATATCGATGTTCGTAGCATCAAACATACTGTAGTGAATCTGTGAGCATTTATAATTTTAAAGGAATGCTTCTTTGGTTTAACATTTTAATACATAAATAATGCGACAATTAAATAATTATAATAAAGATTTATAATAATAATAACAATAACAATAATAAATCGAATATTCATTTTCATCGATAACAGCATAATAGATTTGGCATTTCATATAAATGTTATAAATGTGTAATTTTATTTTTAAATGATTATTTCTTAACGTGACAAGTATAAACAACCATCGTAACAATTTATGATGCATTTTAAAACAAGTACACAGTGCATTTCTTCGTATGAATAACAATGATATTTTTTATAATTTGCAAAAGTTACAAATACATTTTAAACCATTTTAAATTATAGAATTACAAATTAAAATTTATATTTTAAAGGTATAAAAAAATAATATCTATTATTTTTTAATATCATTTAATTTAATTTTTTTAATTTAATTATATATCATTGAAAATTTCAACTGATATTATTTTTAATTTTATTAATATTACAATAATGGTTTATGCGATCTTTATGACTTGAAAAAAAATTTTTTTTTTAGTTTTTTGGCTTTCAAGGTTAAATATTATCTATAAGAAAAAAATTAGATACAGTATTTATATTAAAAGACAAAATAAATACAAAATAGAATGAAATATTTTTCAACACAATTTTAATTATCAAAAAAATTGTTGACATTTTTTGCCAATATCATCTAGTAATATTGTTATTAAAAAATAATCTATGAATTTTTTATTAGAAAAATAGAATTATAAATTATTTGATTATTTGCAAGATCAATTTATTAAATAATATTTAATAGGAGAAAGAATGTAAAGGATACGAATAACCGTAAGATGAAATCTATACTAATTGTTATATGACTAATTAAAAAAGTCGCAAAATTAGTCCTGTTTTGAAAACCCTATTTTATTTTTATTTTTATGAAATTTATTCAAATTTTAAAATCTTAAAACTTTTAATTATTTTTATGCCTTTATATACTGTATATATTTTTAAAAACAATTATTTTTTAATTTCAAAACATTTTAATTTATTTATATTAATACTTTTTTTTAAAAACTATTTTTGATTGAAATTTATTAATATGAAATTTGATTAAAAAATTAAAAGGAAAGAAGTTTGATCAAAAAATATTTATTTAATCAAGATAATGAATGAAATTAATAAGAAAAGTAGCAACGTTGTTTAAATAAATAATTTTTAAATACTGTATTAATAAAATAAAATAAAATTTTTATATTTTATTTAAATGAATTTTCTATACAAATATAATTATTATGTACAAAAAATGATTTCAAAATATTTTATCAAAAAAATTACTTACATTAAAACATACTGTATACTGTATATTAAAAAAAGTTTTACTTTAGATCATTATATTTAACAAAAACTATTAAAAATATGGCATAATAAATAATATTTTAACTATTGTATTTGGAAAGATTATTGAAATTTGTGCTAAATATAAATATTTGCTACCATATACTGTATGTAAAATAATTTTAGAAATAATTTCTTTATTTACGGTGATTTAGAAAATATATAGAAAAAGGAATTATATATATTAAAATAAAAAAATAATTAATATTAATGATTGAATATAGTCAAAAAAAAACCCAAGAAAAAATACAGTACATGCATATTTATAAAAAAATTTAATACATTGATACAATAATTATTAGAATTATTAGAATTTACATTTTTCTTTTCTTTTTAATTCATCTACTCCCGTAAAACTCATTATCAAAATCTGTGTAAGCTTGATAATTGACGATTGGTTTGATAATTTATTCTTATAATGTAGAAATATAATTGTATATTAATTAAGTTTACCTATATATTGGTTATTATAAAAAACCATCATATTATTTTTATGATTTTTCTATTTTCTTTATTATGTTTTTTCTTTTTTTTTTTATAAATATGTTTTAAAAATAAGTTTACTACGTAATGATATACAGTAATTTATTGCGTTACTCATCCACATTCTGTCCATCGCAAAAAAAGTGCCTAAGAACTAGAAGGATGATTTAGTTTGACACTAATATAAATTCATGTTTCTCTTGACCTATCATGCGTTTTATATTAATATACAAATGATTCAGGAATCCTTCATGTTCCATAACAACAGAAATATTTTGGATTAAAATGTAAGACAGATCAAGATTTTACAAACCAAGAAACGTTTGAACGTTTATTAAAATTTGAAATACAGTAATACATTTAATGAAGATAACACCGAGTCAATTGCTGCCAGTATGTAAAAAGCAAATACGTATAATAATATAAATTAAATATATTTAACGCGCCTAATTATTTTAGGTCAATAATAAATATCCTATAATAAATGCGGTTATCTTTCTCAACGTTTTAATTCTGATTCTCCAACCACTTGCTATAAGTATATATATGGACTACCTTGGTTTAACTGCCAGTTGTTTCAATAAATTTTTTTACGAATAATTATTTACAAATATGGTATAAGAAAATTTAAATAAAATTTATATTTATATTTTCAAAAATTTTAATACATTTAAATATATGAAATTTTAAATGAATAGATCGGTCAGAGTTTTATTCTCCCTTAGTGCCTCTTTGGTCGATTTTCCAAGATTATTGTTCAACAAATTCAAAATGGTCAGAGTGGTATTCTTGCTTAGTGCATTGGCCAGTGCCATTCCTACCGAATCACCGAAATTATTATTCTCCAAATTTAAATAGGTTAGAGTAGTATTCTTGCATAGCATTTCGGCCAGAGACATTCCAGTCAACTCTCCCAATTCATTGCTGGATATGTTCAGATATTTTACTGAGGTGTTTTTGCATAGTGCCTCGGCCAGCGCCTTCCCTGCCGACTCTCCTAATCTGTTGTTAGCTATTTTCAGATTGATCAGGGTGGTATTTTTGCATAATGCCTCAGCTAGTGCTATTCCTGCAAATTCCCCTAACAGATTATCGCTTATATTTAAACAGACCAGAGTGGTATTTTTGCAAAGCGCCTCGGCTATCGCTTTTCCGGTCGATTCTTTTAACCCATTATTACTTATATCTAGATCGGTCAGGGTAGTATTTTTGCTTAGCGCCTCAGCCAGAACTTTTCCCGCAGAATCCTCTAGTGCATTTCCACTAATATTCAATTTATTTAGTTTTTCATATTCCAGCAACGAACCTATCATTCTTGGATTAACTTTTAATAGTTTTCTCCAGTATGAGAAAGCCAAGCCAGATTCTGTCTCATGGTGCACCTTCCCCGAACTTAACTCATAATACACCTTCCCCAAACTTAATAACACGTGTTCATTATTTGATTCGATTTGATATGCTTCTTTATAACATTTCAACGAATCTTCGTATTTTTCAATCGAAAAATAGATGTCCCCGCATACTATCAACGCAGAAATATTATTCGGTTCGGCCTTTAGTACTATTTTAATATCCTCTAGGGCCTTTTGGAAATTTCCAAAATGCCGATGAATTTGACTTCGATTTATGTATGCTGATAACTTTTTAGGTTTTAATTCAATGGCGTTCGTGTAACCTTCGAGCGCTTGCTGATGTCGATTAAGCTTTTCTAAATTATTTGCTCTTTCACAAATAAACGAATAGTTAGAAGGATGATATTTTAATACAGCTGTATACCATGAAATTATTTCTGTATACTTTTCGTATTCAACAGCTAATTTCGAAGTTTTTTGTCTTATTATATTAATAACATCTGTTGTAGACTTATTATCCAGTTTATCTAACTTTAAGAAAAACTTGTCTTTTAATTCGTGCATGGAATCTGTTGGTAATAGGTTATCAAATTCTGATGGTGTATTAAAGTATTCGGCTTCTTCTAATCGTTTGCGAAGACCGTTGAGTATAGCATTCTGAGAAATATCAGATATGTTTTCTTTTATTATGGTTTGGCAGGTCGGGATTGGGCATCTAAATTCATTATTTTTTAATTCCGACATTGTTTTCCAGAAATCAGCAGCAGGTTTGCTAATTATATGCCCGCACTCCAAGGCACAAAAATCGCCTGTAATTATTCTCCATATCGGACACGTTAATCGTTCGACAATGATACTTAACAGCTGCGAATCACTTTTTTGATTGACATCATAACGCATTTTTTCCTTTCCTTTTGTACATTTAATTTCTCCCTTCAAATTGTTGTAAAGATCATTATCCGATTGAACTTTTTGCCTAACTTTGTTGATTAGTGTATCGAATTCATCACCCTGAACACATGCCTGTTTTCTATAACGTTCAATCTCGGTCGTGACCAACTTTTCAAAAATTTCCGGTCTTTTATCTGACAGTCTCAGCAATAATTCCAGAGCCTTGTATCTTATAAAATTATTACGAGAGTTTATCAAGGATTCCAAACTTAAGTAATAGCATACGATCAAAACAAAGTTCCATGAGGTTCTATCAATAATAGCTTGTGCCAAATCAAGAATCCCAAATAATAATAAATTTGGTAAGCGAGTTGGTCTATCTCCACCTACTACATTAATAAACTTTGATTTATCATTTAGAATTTCACATCTATTTAGGGACAATGTGGAACATTCGTTATGAAAATGTTGCCAAAGAAGTTCTAAAAGCCTTGCCTCCTCAATTTCACGTAATGTCTTATTACTTTCATCTATTTTTATTAAATGGTTATTGGCTTCAAGTATTTCACGCCAAGCACCATACCAATTAGAAGTTGAGTATGAATACTTTGCCCCTTCAATGAATTGCACGTAGGGATTATCTATACTTTCCATTCCATGTAACGTATTTCTTAAATGGATCAAAAGAAAATTAATGTTATAGTTGCATAGATTAATTTTTCTAGTTCTTGAAATACTACGTTGGTTACGTGTAAATCCTTCTTGCAAGTGCTTTTCTAGCTCGTAATGAATTTCTGCAAATTTTCGTAAGCCATGATACATACTCTGGTTGATCGGAACATAAATCCGAGAATAATAAATTTTTTCTAAAACTGAGAAGCAAGTTCTAAGATGTAATTCCATCAGGGAACTTGTGTTGTCGTCGGTAGGTCCCTCAAATGGTGAAGCATCCGATAGTCTCTTTAGAGCATTGTTTAACATATCCGATGAAATTCTTATTTTATCGTCTTCCATTAAATTTTTAATGTTGTATAAATTAGAAGGCTTATTTAAATCTGCAATATACGTAGATAATTTGGCCTCCACAGATTCTGTTTTAAGAATTTGAAACACAAAATACATTTGTTGTTAAGTAAAATAATTTTTAAATTACGTATTGTAATGTCTATCATTAATGTTTACCTGCAAAACTGGTTTCTTTTTCCCATAAACACACTCGGTTTCTTCCCAAACTTTTAGCTTTACGTAAAGCCTCATCAGCCATGTTGCGCAACATTTCGAAAGAATCCACCGATGCGTTCACTTCTGCGACTCCAATACTGAGTGTAACCTTTAATTTCATTTCATTATAAATAAATAGGTGTGTTTCAATGGAGCTACGTATCGTTTCTGCAATTATATAAGCCGATTCAGCGCCAATATTTTTAAGTATAATGTTAAATTCATCGCCACCATATCGTGCGAAAATGTCGTCAGGGCGAACATAGTGAGTTTTAATAATATTAGTCAACTCGTTCAAAACACGATCAGCTACTTCGTGACCGTAATCGTCGTTAATAATTTTAAAATGATCTATATCAAAAAATATTAGGCTTAACTTTGAACCCCTTTCTTTAATATTTTTAAATTCCTTTTCAAAAGAATCCCCTAAGAAACTAGCATTATAAATCTTCAATTTAGGATCCAGCTGATTTTCATACTCTCCGGCAGGAAAATATTGAAAAATACAGTTTCCCATTTGGATTTCATCATGTTTCTTTAAAGTACGAGGTTCATTGGGTTCAATCTTATGGCCGTTGATAAAAGTTCCAGATAATGAGCCATTGTCAATTACTGTAACTTTTCCTTGATTATTCGAAATTTTTGCGTGTTTCCTAGCAACCTCTTGATCTTTTACAATAATATTATTCGTGGGATCTCTTCCAATTAATGTATCAAACTGACTAAGGTAAAAGCATCGATTTTGTGGTGTTCCTTGAATAACGATTAGGCAAGCCTCGCTCTCTACCAATGGATATCCACAATGGATTTCTGAAATATAATCAGAGCTTTGATACACATGTCCAAGATCAATGCTATCAAGATCCATCTCTTCCACCGTCGGCCGCTTTTCAGGAATATTATTCCACAGATCGCAATAAAGTTCTTTATACTCTACTGGAGTTCCATCAATAGGACTTTCTCTAGTTCCTGAGATAAGTTCGTTCTTTAAAGCTTCGTTGTTCCCTTCGAATTTCTTAAAGGGAGGGATACCACTTGATATTTCCCATAATAACACTCCAAGACTATAAACATCTGATGGCTTGTCTCTTCTACAACGAAGTTTAAAAAATCTCGGATCCACGTAAGCCACCATTTCGGGATCAAAGCACTCTTCACGGGTTTCCAAAAATCCATCAAGTGATATAGAGGCATCAAATCCCTTGATCACTGGACTGTCATTGTATACAAGAATATTTTTAGGATTCTGATAAAAATTTTTTATAAAAATAATTAATATTTTTGATCCTGCATACAAAATTAGTCTAATAAAAGCTTACCAAATTGCAGTGAACAATATTTTCACGATGAACATCACGCATGCCATTAATAACCCCCTTTGCCATTTGTACTCTGGCAGGCCAACTTAGTTCAGTAGATTTTTTCTTCAAATAAATCCTAAGATCTTCGCCGTATGCACATTGAAAGACAATACAATAAAATTTCAGAGAAGGATCTGTGTGACGAATGGAAACAGAAATAAAATAAAAATAAAATCCCAGCGATCAATAATGCGATATATAAATTACAAAATAATCAGATTATGATTGATAAATGCTCGACCTTTGCTAATTCCTAAAAATTTGATTATATTTTCACTATTATTTAGCTTCATTATATTTTGCACCTATTTATAATAAGCATTAAAACACATTTGTGCAATTAACAAACCTAATAATAAAAATGCTTACCTCTCTGACAAAACTCGTGTAATATTTATCTTCGATCTCATATACATCATCTTTTAAATATTCAAGGATCACCTTCTTGCCGCATTTTATTTGAGCTTTTTTAACATCTTTTAACGTTGTCGTTGAGACATGCTTGATATCTCTAAACGAATCATAATCAAATACTCTTATATATTTTTTATATATGGCATCTTCAAGCCATATCTTTGGATCCGTTAGTGCGTTCATTTTTTGGATACGTATTCACGTATGTAGGTTTTTTTAAAACCTAATAACCTAGCTATTTATCGTTACACCATTTTTTAGGTCAATGATATTGTGTCATTACATAATCTAAACAACATCGCCGATACTTCCTGTTTTCTTTGATGTCAATGTAAACAGATATGTATTATTCAAATTTTCCTCTATCATTCATTGTGTACGTCAACTCGGTCGCCGCTTTGCGGAACTCCGATTAAGCTCGTTACACTACATTAGTATTAAGTATTTTTTAAAAGTATCTTATCTATCGAACGATGAATATGTCGCCTCTTTTTTTTAAATATATTAAGCATCAATTAATTAAAATTGTTGACATATTATAAAAAGCAAAAAAATTGTACCAATGAATTCGTTCACTTTGATTATATTGTATACGTTTGAATAATGACATATATACATAATATTAATGTTAATTAATTAATTAAACGATAAACTATTTTATATTGATACTCATTTTTATTTAATATTGATTAGATAAAAAATTATAAACCACAAACGAAAAAAAAATCAATACATTGATACAATTTTTTGAGTCTGTGTACTTGATACCATAACCAAAGAGGAGAGAGTATACCACAAGATATAAAAATAATAAAAGGCGCAAGGAAAATCACATGAAATAAAAAAGAGAGAATTTACAAGATCATTTGGATGAGTAACGAAGATCAAATCAAATTATAGTGTCACCTCTTCTAATTTCCCCAATGAAATCTCTATTTATTCACTAATGCGAAAAATTCAGAAGGAATATCAAATGAATTAATATTTTTCTCGGAATGTGAGGGTCAAGTTACATATTTTTTCGTACTTTAATCAAGTACGTAATAATAGATTTATTCATAAAAATACACGGGCCAACCGGCTAATCAATATAATGAATACTAGAGTAACAGTTGTTTCAAGGGAGAAAATCAATGAAAATCCGTTGCCTGCTGTCAGGCCCTAACCATAGAAGACAGTTCCTTCACGTTACTCAGCAGTGTAAATGACTGCTATCTATCCAGGCGCCTATCTTTTCTAATTTTTCGCTTTTTATATTTCCCCCACGTAAAACCCTTTATGTATCTTTTCCAATTGATCCCATTCATAGTGTAACAAGAGTAATGGTAATGTAATCCGCGCTGATAACGATACCCGAGTAGTATCACGAGCTCAAACCGGGACAAAACACGTCGAAATAATAAACGGCACACATGAAAAAGAGAAATAATGTGATAGAAGAACAATAGCATAATAGAAGGAAAGATCGAGTTGTCACGTGACCCGTCTTTGCTTGTCAAGATCGATGAATTATGTAATATGACGACAAAAACGATAATATATTATGTAATGGTTTCGCTGCGATTTATTATTTTCGATTTCTTTTTTTGTTTATTTCATTTTCTTATTATGTAATTATTGGACTAATTGTATAAAAGAGACCCATATTATTAATAAAAACAAAAAGAGAGAGACGATTAGTAAATTTTTCTCGGCCACGATCAATTCCGCCTCACACATAACATAAAACACTTACCATCGTTACGCGAATATTAGCTTTCATTAGCGACAGACTTGCCGATCACCGTTACAATAGCAAAAAAGACTTTCCTTGCATAGCGTTGATCAATTTTGTTTTGGATCATTGAGATAGCTCCGTTGATTGATTCGAATTCGGTTGCAACTGCCAGAATTGCTATTGTAGTTTTAAGAACTTGTTCGATCTTATCAAGTCTCGCAGTAGAAGTATTAAGTAGAGTAAGACCAAGATTCTTTGACCTTCCTCAGTACAGTAATCTTTTCATCACGTGAGGTAAGATCAGCGAGCATTGCGTTCTTAGACGAGCTTTTGTTTGACGGCTTGTATTACATATCAGACACCATCAAATAGTATGAGAAGTTTGCATATGAAAAATCTATTGAAGACTTCTTTTGTTTGTAGAATTGATTTACAGTATCTTGACACTAGCTTTGCTATTATGCTCAATTTTATAAGTGGAGTTGGTACAAAGTGACAGGTTTTATTTTTGCTTTTTGTATGCGATGTAAGCAAGAAGGGTAAACATTTCCTTGATTTTATATTTGCGGTCAATATTCACATCACAATTGATTTGTTATTTTTCTTAGGTGGATCAGTAAATGCTAGTTTAACTAAGCAAAACACGTGATAATTAAATGTCTCTCAATTATAATTTATTAAAAAGAATTCCATTTTAATAAATTACATCATTTTCGCTTGAAAATAAATTGAAATCCCCATCCTAAGAGTTTCCAGTACTTTTATCAGACCCATATCGCTGTCATAATCGTGATCATATATTACCTTCCTACCATTTCCCTCTCACTCAAGACAAAAGAGATAGTAACCCCACCTCGGTCTATTAACCTCAAATGCAGAGCATAATAAGACTATAGTTTCTATAGTTTCACATAATGCCTGGCCATAAATGTATATTGATTCTTACCATTAACCTCTCGTTAGTGGCGTAGTATGAACAACCATCTGGTATGTACTAGCCTTAGTCACATTGAAAGACATGTGAGCTGTGGAATATAGGAAGGGTGTTATAAAAATTTTCAACCATAAGCGCATAAATATTTTTCCTAAAATTAACCCATATTTGTAAATAAAAAGTGCTATATTCGTGTACCGCCATCAGGTAACACGAGGATGTGGTTATAGAGAATGTAAATGATGTAATGGAAGGTCAATACAGGTATGGTCGATAATACACGCCGCGCAATGAACAACTATACTGTCATTAGTCACGTGATATATCTACGCTGGATAGTAGAGATGCGATTCGCAAATAAATGACATGCGGGGTGTTCCCCGTACAACGATTGTACAGCAGTTGTGCAGAATACATACAGCTGCATTTGCATTGTTTTAAGTGAAATTTCCGTACCGTAATAATATATAGTTTTCGGATTATACCACACGATATAGGATGGCGGTTAATTTATTACCGTACGTCGCGGTGTATAGTAACCCCCCCGTTATGGATATTTTAATGGTGCATATCTTTCTGCCAATTATTATGTACGTAAAATAATATTTATCATTCTTATTCTTGTACATTGATTGGAAGACCGGCAAGTATTCTACGAGGGGATACTATACACCGCGACGTACGGTATACTTATACGTAGTTTGTATATAGTCATGTGATGAACTCTCATGATCCGGATATTTCACACAAATTCGCCTGCACGGTATGCTGCACAAGTGACGCACAGATCATAGGTGATGTACAATACCGTGTGTCGCATAAGCGAGTTAAGAACTGATCATCACACTGTCATTTATTTTTGGTAATAAATCTCTGCTTCCGCAAATAATAAATTCGTATACTGTATACAGTATATTGCGTTTAAGTTATTTATGTTCTTTGCTCTTATTTGCAGGAATGCATTTTTATGACTTAATTTTTTTATTGTTTTCTCCATTTTTGCCAACTAAGTTTCAACATTGGAATTGGTTTATTGTACTGTAGTAAAGTTTAGAAAATTCGACATTTGATTAGCCATTAGCCATACAAATAACCGTTATAGATGGCGCCACTACTTTTTGACCAATTAGAATGCGATCAAAATGCGTAAAACACTACCCAACGTGTGTTACGTAATACACAGTACAATTAAATATATACAGTACACCGCATGTAATGTACAGTAGCGCATTTTTAAAAAACTTTTTAGAATGTCATCTAACTTGCAATCATTGTCTTTACACAATAAGTCACAAGATTTTCTCGATGAGATCGTCGAAGAGTTATGTAACTTGTATAACAGAGAAAGATTAAAAGGGAACGATATTGAATTGTTCTTAACATGTTAGAAAAATATTTTATCACAAAAGAGTTAAAACTGGAAGATAGAATTGGTCTGTGTCTAACAAATAAAACGAATTCTATAGTTCAATCCGTTCTTGCAAGCTGCTATCGTTTTGGCAAATGGGTCGAAAAGAATGAAAATAAGGCATTCGAATATTATCAAAAATCAGCCGAGATGGGAGATTCTGACGGAGTATGTCAAGTTGGCAATTGTTATCTTAATGGAATTGGAGTTAAAAAGGATGAACATAGGGCATTCGAATATTATCAAAAATCATCCGAGATGGGTTCTATATCGGGAACAAACAATGTTGGCTATTGTTACAAAAATGGAATTGGAGTTGAAAAGGACGAACATAAGGTACTCGAGTGCAATCAAAAATTATCCGAGATGGGTCATGCATTGGGAACATTTAATGTTGGCTGTTGTTATGATGAAGGAATTGGAGTTGAAAAGGATGAACATAAGGCATTTGAATATTATCAAAAATCATCCGAGATGGGTAATGCTAAGGGAACATCAAATGTTGGCTATTGTTATGATGAGGGAATTGGAGTTGAAAAGGATGAACATAAGGCATTTGAATATTATCAAAAATCATCCGAGATGGGTTCTACATCGGGAACATTTAATGTTGGCTATTGTTATCTTAATGGGATTGGAGTTGAAAAGGACGAACATAAGACATTCGAATATTATCAAAAATCATCAGAGATGGGTCATGCATCAGGAACAAACAGTGTTGGCAATTGTTATCTTAATGGGATTGGAGTTGAAAAGGACGAACATAAGGCATTCGAATATTATCAAAAATCTGCTGAGATGAATGATGTAAATGGAATGTTTGCGGTTGCTGGACTTTATAGAAACGGAATTGGAGTTGAGCGTAACTTACAAATGGCTAAGCATTGGTACCAGATGTAAGTGAATTATTTTAATTTGTCATTACGGTTGCTATAAATTAACATCTACATGTAAACAATTAGGGAAATAAATCAATTAGCAGGTAAATATAGTGACATTACTATTTTATTATTCAATTTTATATTCAAAATATAATGATCCATACATTTAGTCTCAAACGAATCAATACCTGATATTGATAATGGACTTAAAAAAATGTTTGACGAAAGAAAATACCCGTTACT